GAAGGAGAACACCAGGGGACAAGGTGCTGAGTCAGTGTCTGTGTGTCCCATGTTGGTTGCTCTGCTTTATTTTCACTGGAAAAATTGAAATGAGAGCTAATACAGGAGGAAAGAATTAAGTGACATGCAAGCCCAGAGAGTGCATGTTGATAGTGTGTTACTAAGCTGTCAGATCCACCAGGGTTGTTTTGTTTTGTTTTTTTTGTGCTTAAAAACGCACACGACAAAACATTGACCAGTTCAGCGGTTTCCACATGCAGTCAGTGATGTTGATGACCCTCTTCCTGTACACAGTCCGTATCCCTAGCTTTATGCCAGGGTTTTAGAGTTTAAAAAAAAATGTTTGGAGGGAAAACCTGGTTGCCTGTGTTCACTCCTCCCTCTTCCGGAGTGAAGGGCTCATGTATTAGGGTGATAGGAACTTCCCGTGATGCTTCGCTGTATTCGACTTAATGATGAGTTGAATTCCCTGAATACACGTTATAATCAGCAAGAGCATCCCTGAGGGTTAGTTGGCTGGTGGGGAGCCGTGGAGATCAGTGGTGGGAATTGTATGCTGGGTGTAGGAGGAACCGACCTGATGGGTTTCAATGCCAGGAGTGATCCAGATGGAAGGTCTGAGATGTGACTGCAGTTTGAGACGCAGGGTAGGAACTTGGCCCTTTGGTAGTGAAGTCCGTCTGTGTTCAGTGGCTTCCCCTCTTCTTGAGGAGACTCCCTGATGACGTGTTTTCCTCCCCAGCTGTGATCCCCCTGACAGATTCAGAGCAGAAGCTGCTGCCCCTGCACTTTGCTGTGGACCCAGGCAAGGGCTGGGAGTGGGGCAGAGATGACAGCGACAATGTCCGATTGGCCAGGTGAGGCGGCTGAGCCTTTTCATTTACTCTGTAGCTGGGATTGCGTCCACATACAGCCTCTGTCTCCCAGGGATTCTCCCCAGCTCAGGGGGAAGGCAGTTGCATCCTAGCTCCATTTTCTTTGGATGAGATGGGGTGCATGCAGGGTGCCATGGCCGTAGACCAGCTCCGTTTTCTTTGGGTGAGATGGGGCGCATGCAGGGT